TCCTCCCCTTCCTCCTCCTCCTCCTCCTCCTCCTCCTCCTGTTCCTCCTCGACCGCCAGATTCGGGGCCGACGGCTCCTGGCGCTCTCCCTCCTTCCGCCCCCTGCCTCGGGCCGACCTGCGCGGGGGCCGTGCGCGGCCCTGCGTGGAGCGGCGGCGAGCGAGGGGGCAGGGCTGGCCCTGAGCGGTGGTTTGACGACTCCGTGGGCCGGCTTCGTTTGGGCTTCGTGTCGCGGCAGAGGCGGATGTCGCAGGCCTGGAGGTGGACACCAACACCGATATCGGCGGTGTGCCTCCACCGAGGGATGGCGATCCCGATCTTTTCGTTTCGGCTTCGTGTTGCGGCAGGGGCGGGTTGAAGGCAAAGCGAAGACGAAAACCACCGTGCAGGTCGATCCGTCCGACGGAGGGGGAAGTGAGAAGGGGCGGAACCTCTCAGAAGGTTCAGAAGTCTGCCGGCCTTCTGCTGAGTTAGCTGGGCCTTTCCCGAAAGCACACGACAAGCTTCTGCCTGCTGAGAAGGCCTTCTCCTTCTCACTCCCCCCCCTCGTTCGCCGCCGACATAGCGCTGACCTGCGTTGAGAGCCGGCAGGAGCTCAGTCCACCTCGGGGAGCCTCCGCACTCGGGCATTGGCGGCCTTCTCGGAGCGTTCGAGGACGCTCTGAGACCATTCAATACACTCTGGAGCGAATCTACGGGGGAAACCAACAGGTGCCGATACCGCTACTCCCCGGACATTTCGCTGGGTGCGATCTGACCAGGATTTCGAGGCGAATCCGGCGGTGACGACTGTATGTCGAGCTCCTCGGCGGGGCCGCGGCGGTCCCTCCACCCCCCTTCCCCTCTCTCTCTCTCCCCTCCTCCTCCTCCTCCTCCTCCTCCTCCTCCTGCTTCTCTTCCTGCTTCTCCTCCTCCTCCTCCTCCTCTTCCTCCTCCTCCTCCGCCTCCTCCTCCTCCTCCTCCTCCTCCTCCTCTCTTCCCCTCCTCCCTCGTTCCTCCCTCCCTCATTCCCCCCCCCCCCCCCCCCCCCCCCGCGGCCGAGGCGCGGGGAGCTGAGCTACCCGCCCTACATCACGCCCGTCGGTGCAACGCCCTCCTCCTCCCCCGCGGCGAGGAGGGGCCGAGGGGGACGAGGCGCCAAGGATCGAGGAGGAGGGAAGGAGGAGGGAAGGGGAGGGAAGGGGGAGTAAGGAGGAGGAAGAGGAGGAGGAGGAGGAGGAGGAGGGGAAGAGAGGAGGAGGAGGAGGAGGAGGAGGAGGGGAGGCGGAGGAGGGGAGGAGGAGGAGGAGGAGGAGGAAAAAGAGTAGACGTAGGAGTAGAAATAGGAGTAGCAGTTGGAGCAGGAGGAGGAGGAGGAAGAAGAGGAGGGGGGAGGGGGGAGGAGGATGAGGACACGGGAGGAGGAACTGGATCAGGAGGAAGGGGGAGGAGGAACGGGGGGGAACGAGGATGATGTATGATTAACATTTACACCCGTATAGTGTGTTGTTCACAAGTACACTTTTTTATTACATGCGATTAAGTATAATATTTTATATATATATATATATATATATATATCCGTAAGGGCTTCGCCCCCTGCCGCCGGCCCCCTCTCTCGGATAATGGGCCATGGAAGAGCTAAGTCATGAGGCTTTGGCGCTGTCGTGCAGCAGTATCGGAACTTCATGCGAGGCCGATTCGCAATCGGCAAAACCAACTCATCACAAGAGGGGTTACCACACAAGGCGATTGGTAAGACGTGTATGGTTTACGAGCTTGGTTACCACACCTTGGGATTAAAGGGCCGAGGGAGTACTCGCAGTTTGGGTTACCACGCCTTGCGATGGATGTGCGTGAGGGGTGGCACCGAATTTCAGAAATGTGGCAAATCCATGTGTTTTTGGACCCTGACCCCGCGGATCTGCGTGAGGGGTGGCACCGAATTTCAGAAATGTGGCAAATCCCCTGTGTTTTTGAACCCTGACCCCGCGGATCTGCGTGAGGGGTGGCACCGAATTTCAGAAATGTGGCAAATCCCATGTGTTTTTGGACCCTGACCCCGCGGATCTGCGTGAGGGGTGGCACCGAATTTCAGAAATGTGGCAAATCCCTGTGTTTTTGGACCCTGACCCCGCGGATCTGCGTGAGGGGTGGCACCGAATTTCAGAAATGTGGCAAATCCCATGTTTTTTGACCCTGACCCCGCGGATCTGCGTGAGGGGTGGCACCGAATTTCAGAAATGTGGCAAATCCCTTGTGTTTTTGGACCCTGACCCCGCGGATCTGCGTGAGGGGTGGCACCGAATTTCAGAAATGTGGCAAATCCCATGTGTTTTGGGACCCTGACCCCGCGGATCTGCGTGAGGGGTGGCACCGAATTTCAGAAATGTGGCAAATCCCCTGTGTTTTTGGACCCTGACCCCGCGGATCTGCGTGAGGGGTGGCACCGAATTTCAGAAATGTGGCAAATCCCATGTGTTTTTTGGACCCTGACCCCGCGGATCTGCGTGAGGGGTGGCACCGAATTTCAGAAATGTAGCAAATCCCTTGTGTTTTTGGACCCTGACCCCGCGGATCTGCGTGAGGGGTGGCACCGAATTTCAGAAATGTGGCAAATCCCATGTGTTTTTGGACCCTGACCCAGCGGATCTGCGTGAGGGGTGGCACCGAATTTCAGAAATGTGGCAAATCCCTTGTGTTTTTGGACCCTGACCCCGCGGATCTGCGTGAGGGGTGTCGATTTCGAGCCCCCCCCAGCAATTCAGACAACGCGCCCAGGGGGTGCTAAAAGTCCCGTTTGGGCCTCCCCCCCCCTCGCGCGGTCAGTCAACTAGTTACAGTAACCAGCAAGAAGCAGAACTGTAACACTGGAAACTACAAGCTACAACTGGTACAGGAAACTGCGAACCCGCGCCTACAGCCTGGTGGCCCCACAAGGGGGCCGGCGACGATATATATATATATATATATATATTGCGTCGTCCAGCACGTATTTCCATATACACCCGTACGTACAACATGGGCGTTCATACATTTGTACACATCTATGTAAACACACATCAGGGGATATTGATACCGTTATATATATAGAGAGAGAGAGAGTGGGAGACAGAGAGAGAGAGGCATGTAGAGAGAGAGAGAGAGAGGACGAGAGAAAGAGAGAAATATATCGCGCCTTGTAACGACGCGTGCCTTCATCTGGGATACCCGTGTGTCCTTGCCTCTGCGTCTCGTCCTTTGCCGTTTTCATTGGTCGCTTGCCGCCCAATAAACTCCATGTTCGGCCTCCAAGGGTCCTGTGTCCTTGCCACCCGTTGCCCGTTTCGCTGTAGAGATGCAGAGAGAGGGAGGGAGAGAGAGAGAGAGAGGGAGAGTGCGAGAGCGAGAGCGAGAGCTATACAGAAAGAGAGAGGGAGAGAGAGAGAGAGCGAGAGAAAGACAGAGAGCGAGAAGGAGAGAGAGAGAGAGAGAGAGCGAGAGAGATACACATACATACATATATATAGAGAGAGAGAGAGACAAAGCGAGGGAAAGAGAGAGAGAGAGAGAGAAAGAGAGACATAGAGAGAAAGAGAGCGAGAAAGACAGAGAGAGAGAGTCAGGGGTGCAGGGTTTGGGGGCGGGGGGGGGGTAGGCTCAGGGGGGGATGCATCGTCCCCCGATCGCCCATTGATCGCCGATAGGGGCCCGAGAGTCGCCGATCGTCTTCACCGCCCAGGAAGGTTCAGACTTGCTATCGGGGGCGTGTCGCCGATTTATCGGCGATGTGTCGCCGACTCTGGGGTGATGATCCCCCCCTGAGCCAATCCCTCCATTACGTTCCCCTTCAGAGAGAGAGAGAGAGAGAGAGTGAGAGAGAGTGAGAGAGAGTGAGAGAGTGAGAGAGAAAGAGAGAGAGAGAGAGTGAGTGAGAGAGCGAAAGAAAGTAGAGAGAGAAAGTGCGAGAGAACGAGAGAAATGAGAGAGAGAGAGAGAATCATGTCAGAGGTACCTTGGCAAGACTGTGAACAAATTTACGGTACTACAGCTTGGGCAGCTCTGTTGTGGAGCAAGGTTGGAACCACGAGCAGAATTTCGTACTCTTGTTGAAGGGTTTTAGCGGATCTCTAAGAAAATTTGAGAGCACCCGCACAGCCAGGGCACGGACCAGCGGCGAGGGGCACAGGGGGGAGGAAGGGAACCGGTGAACCAATATCCATGCATAAAAACACGCAGGGAAGAAATGCTGAGTACCTCGAATGTGAAGAACCCTCAAACTGTCTGGAAGGTTCAGGGCTTCTGTTGGGGGGCCCAGGTGAGCATGCCCGCGACATCGCGGTGATCATTGGGACTTTGACAGGTGTTTCGTCTACTCGGCTAATTCGCACGGCTTTCCGCGTCCCTGCAATTTTGGCGTGTCTTCCAGGTTTGGGGGCGCTTGTGCGATCTCTTAGGGCATCGGGTAGCTTCTGAATGCTTTTGGGATCGATGAGGACGACACGGATGAGAAAGATGGTGATGATGAGGAGGAGGAGGAGGATGAGGGGGAGGAGGAGGTCGCGGAGGAGGAGGAGGAAGAAGAAACCGTTCAACATGCAGGATACCATGGCCCTTCCCCTGTCCCGACGGCTGGAGCCGCCGCGAGATTCATCTGTGACGGCCTCGCCAGAGCAGCTACAACACCGCCCTCTCTGGCCGCACCATCGGCGCCGCCAGCTGCGACAGCTCCGGCGACCACAACGCCCGCCGCGTTGATTCCAGCTGCTACAACTCCGCCAACATTCGATGGGCACCGCAGCTACGACGCCGCCAGCGGCGACGCCGACAGCAGCAGCGCCGCCGACCCTTTCGCCACTGACGGCGCCCTCGACGGCAAAGCCCGCGGCGGTGGGCGCGGCGGCGGGCAGGGGCGTTCGCGCCGTCGAGCATCGCGAGGACGCCGCGGAGGAACCCGTCGAGGACGCCGTCGAGAATCGCGAGGACGCCGTCGAGCATCGCGAGGACGCCGTCGAGAACCGCGAGGGCGCCGACCACGCTGGCGAGGGGCCTCGGGAGGCCACCCGCCTCGTCGAGGGTGCCACCCGCATGGCGCAGCAGCCCCCCTCCGCCGCCCGTGCCTCCCGTCCCCAGCGCGAGGCCCAGGCCTGGGTCGAGGAGCGGGCCGGCGACGCGCGGGCGAGGGCCAGCTGAAGGCGCACCGCGAGGCCGCGCGGATGGCGGGTGGCGCCTTCTCTGGCGCCGGTCGGGGGTGGACAGACCTCCTGCCCTGACGCGTCGATGAAGGAATTGGCCGCTTTCGGTTCGTGAGGGGGCGCCGCGGCCGTCATCTTTGTGGGTCCAGGTCCGTCGGCTTCGGTCCCAGGCCGTTTTCACGAAGGGGAGGTTTACTCGGGGAGGTTTGTCCACCCCCGAACTGACGCCGGTGATGGCCACGTAGAAGTCAGACTGGAGGACGGCCGCACACCCACTTTCAGGAGGGAAAAAACATACAGACACAATTAATCGTCGATTCCCAAGAAAATATGGGAAAATATGGGAAGTGGGGGGGAAGACTAAAACACAGAAAATATGTGAACATATGGGGATTATTTTTAGTTGTGTGTATTTATTTAAGTGTCCTGGGGCCCCTTCACACTTCGCCAACGACGAGACCATGATCCCCGAACGTCCGGGAGTGCTGCATCGACCCCGCGAAAGCGCGCCGAGAACTGCGGCCGGGCCCCTCAGGAGAGCGTGGCCGCCCTCGAGCGCAAGAGCGCAACCTGCGCAACTTCTTCGCGCGGCTACACGACGAAGAGGCCCGCCCACGACCAAGAGCGCAACAACGGCGACAAGTGCGCTAAGGACCCCGTCTTCGGCCCCGCAGCCCGCCGGAAGCGGAGCTGCCCCATCGCCGTCGCCCCCGCGAGGGTGGGCGTGCCGTTCTCCCACGGTCAAGGGAGGAAGAACCACCCGGACCGGACAATTGGCGTTCACTAAACGGCCTTGGGCGTTTACTAAACAGCCTTGCCCTGCCCTGTTTGATTCCTTTCTTGGGGGCGCGTTTACTAAACGACTTCGCGTGTCGGGGTGGTTACTATGGGAGTGGATTTGTTTGATTTCTACACCGGGGGAATGGATTGGCGGCCCTCGCGGCTGCAGCGCTCGCGGGAGCAAGGGGGCTCGAGGACTAGGAGGAAGGAGCGACGACCCGCGGCGCGCAGCGCGCCCGAGACTAGGGGTAACTCCGTGCGCTGAAAAAAAAAAACTCACTTCGCCCCTCCTCGTCCTCGTCCTCCTCGTCGTCCTCCTCGTCCTCCTCCCCGTCCTCGGCCTTGTCCTCCTCCTCCTGCTCCTCTTCCTCCTCCTGCTCCTCCTCTTCCTCCTCCTCCTGCTCCTCCTCTTCCTCCTCCTCCTCCTTCTCCTCCTCCTCCTCCTCCTCCCTCTTCCCTCGTCCCTCCTTCCTTCGCCCCCCTCTTCCCCTTCCCCCCCCGCGGGGGGCTCGTCCGCCTTCTACGCTTCGGGTGGGGGCGGGGGAGCAGAACAGCGAGGAGGAGGAAGAGGAGGAGGAGGAGGAGGAGGAGGAGAAGGAGGAGGAAGACGAGGAAGAAAAGGAGGAGGAGGAGGAGGAGGACGAGGAGGAAGAAAAAGAGGAGGAAGAAAGGAGGAGGAGGAAAAGGAGGAGGAGGAGGAGGAGGAGGAGGAGGAGCAGCATGCGATACTGGGCGCTTGTGCAGCCTCTGGTGAGGGTGCCTGTCCCTCCCTCTCCCTCCTCCCTCCGCCCCGTGCCCCTGCCTGCGCTCCTCTGTCGGCGCCCCCCCTGTGCTCGGGGCTCGCCGGCGCCCAGGCCGGCAAGGCTTGAGGGCCGCGGATCGGCGGTTCCAAGTTCAAGAGGGGAAAAACCACACAGACACAATTAATCGTCGATTCCCAGGAAAATATGGGAAAATATGGGAAGTGGGGGGAAAACAGAAACCCAGAAAATATAGGAACATATGGGGGATCTGGTTATTTGTGTGTATTTATTTGTGTGTCCTGGGGCCCCTTCACACGTGGCGGTTCGGAAAGGGGGGTGGGGGTCAGGCGGCCGCAAACATGGGTCAAGGGGGCGTGGATCAGCGGCGGGCCCCGCTTCCCGTGGGAGATCGCGCCTCTCCGTCGCCGAGCGGGGTGGCGCCGGCCGCATCTTGGGGAGGGCACCTGGCCCGATCCAGGGATGGAGCGACCGTGCGCCAAGTCCATGGGTCGGCAATCCATGTTCGCGCGCCCCCGAGGGGGGGGGGGCGAAGGACTGGTTCTCGTCGTCCCAGAGGCCGCGCCCTGCAGCGCCTCATCTCTGGGCCGCCGAGCGGCTGTCGGGGCGCGAGGCCCGTGGGCGCCTCGTGGGCCCCGGGGGGGTGGGGGGGGATCGGAGGCCTCGCAAGGGGCCCCTGCGGGGGACAGCTCCTGGCCTCAGAGTAGGGGTGCTCGGTGTCGCACTTCCCGATGTTGAGACACGTCGGCACAACCTCCAATTTCCCAGTCCCGTATTTTTTCTTGGAGAACAGCCTGCTTGGGTTTGCCGATTGCCAACAGGTCGTCCCCACCAGGGACTTCGAATTCTGACGACACAGATGCCATTGCCATCCCCCTGAGGCCTGCAGAGGGCCAGGCCTCCGACGTCGTGAGGTGTGCTGCGCGACGCCGCGCTTCCTCGGTGTCTGGGGCCTCGCGGAGGGGCATCGAGGGTCCGGCGTCGAAGAGACGCAGATCGGCCACCATCGTTGCAAACACGTGGTCCGTACACCCCCGTGGGGGCCTGGGTGTGTGTCTTTGTCATGGTTATCGCAATTAGCGATGACCAAGATGCGGGGGTGGACAGACCTCCTACCTTGACACGTCGATTAGCGAATTGGCCGTTTTCGGTTCGCGAGGGGGCGTCGCGGCCTTCATTTTTGCGGGTCCAGGTCCGTCGGTTTCGGTCCCAGGTCGTTTTCACTAAGGGGAGGTTTACTGAAGGGAGGCGTGTCCACCGCCAAAAGATGGACGACTACCAAGTTCGGCACCGACGTTTCGAATCGTTTCTGCGTTCGGTCTTGGTCATGGCCATGATGCTTCTTCCCTTTTTTCCTGTCGGTCAACAGATATCCACAGCCGCTGGGCTGAGAGAGTCGCCCCCGGAAACACCCCCATGCCGACCCCGACCCCGCGCCGGTGATGACCTGCGCGCGGCAACGGAAATCGGGCGCCGCGTCCAGGTCATCACTGCCGTGAGGCCTGGATCGGCCTTGAGGGGGCGCCAGCGGCGATGCCTTCAGCCGACGTGTTGAGGTTGTTTTTCTTCTCCGTCAGCCCTCGATCATGGGCGCAGTGGGTCCGCCCAGGGGCAGGAGGGAACACGCAAGTCCCAGGGTCGTGGTTGGTCCGTGCTCCAGTTCTGGCGACCAGAGGCGGGCACCCACCAGGACAACAACGGTCGGTGGCGTCGTTGGGTGGTGAACGGCTCAGGGGGGGAAACATCGACCCGCATTCGCCCACTCATCGCCGACGGGAGACCAGTGACGGCCCGCCGCGCCAAGGAACGTGCGGATTTGCTATCGGGGGCCCATCGCCAGTCTGTCAGCGATCTATCGTCGATTCCAGGGCGATGCTGCCGCCCCTGATCCAGTCCCCCCCCCCTCAAGTGCGTCCCCCCTCAGAGATCGACGACCAGCCCTCGGAGGATGTCGGAGGTCTTCGTCGCCACGGCTGCACGCCACTGGCGCGCGTGGCTCGCGTGCTGCTCCAAGGGCTCCCCCCGCTGTTGGCGCAGCTCCGCGGGCCGCTGCCGCCTGCTGTCGGCTGCTGTCCAGGCAAGACCCTGCTGGAGAGCCTGATCCAGCGGGACCCGAACAAGCGCCTCGGGGGCGGGCCCGACGACGGCGAGGAGGTGAAGGCCCGCTGGCTTCCTTCGACGGAGCTTCATTCCACGGACGACTCGTGTGCCTCTCCTCCTGCTCCTCCTCCTGCTCCTCCTGCTCCTCCTCCACCTCCCCCTCCTCCTCCTCCTCCTCCACCTCCCCCTCCTCCTCTCAGGAGGGAAAGAAACACACAGACACAATTAATCGTCGATTCCCTAGAAACTATGGGAAACTATGGGAAGTGTGGGGGAAGACAAAAAACCCAAACATATGGAAATTACCCTGCGACGTACCCAACCCACGTGCATCAAATGGCAAGGGGAGTATGCCAACATTAGCAGGAACAACGACAGTGTAGACGCGGCGATTTGCTGTGCAAGCTACATGGGATGCGCATGCGTTGCACGATTCACAGGACGACGATCGAAAGAACGAGGCTTGAGGCCCCAGGATCGAAGAAGAACGGGTACGGGAACGAGGGGTAGGAGAGGGATGGAATGGAGGGCGGGGGGGGCGAAAGGCCATCGCGGAAGCAGCAGCATGCATGGAGAAGGTGAGGCGGGGAATAGGACGACGATGAAAGTGGCGGGAGGAGACAGAAGACTGCCGCGTTTTTCAAGTGCGAGCCAAACCCGCAGCGCTGCCTGCGCCATGTCGTCGCAGAGTTCCACATGATAGAACGATTTTAGAGTGCAAGGAACGAGCGAGGCGTAGCTCGCCCGCTAGCTTCTCCGCCTCCTTCCCGCACATTTCAGCGCGGGAGCTGAAATCGACGACCCGAAATCCTTCACATCAGTAATTTTGGGTCTCGGAGCCCACAGGGCGGTTTTTCATGTTTTCCATTCGACGTTCCATGAAGCCCGATGTCATTCCGAGGCGCGCGTCGAACGTTTTCGATGGCGCGTCGCGTTATGCGACGTCACGTGCGTTGTGGTCGTCAAAGGCTTGCGTGCTTATTGCGGATCGGTTGATGTGGGCTGGGGTCCCTCAGGATTGTACATTTGCTTTGCGCTGGGGCGGTTTCGCCCCCCATCCCTGGCTGATCCACCCCGCGGGTAACGTCGCAGGAAGAGTTCGAACATTTGGTTCGTAGTGCCAGCGATGCTGTCGCGGACATTGACCGCGCCACGGGGGGGGGTCGTCCAGAAATTTCCTACCATATTGCAGTGTTGGTTCTTCGTTTTGAAGAATACACCGCCCCGCGTCATTCCTTCCGGCCCCCTCCCTCGTCCTCCCTCTTCGCGTATCTGCCCCTGCTCTCCGCGTGTCCCCGTCGTCATCGTCCATCGTCATCGTCGCCATCACCATCATCATCAGCATCATCAGCATTCTCGTCGTCTCCATCATCAATACCACCACCATCCTCATCAACATCATCAAAACACCCCCCTTGTTCCCCCGCGTCTCTGCTTCGCCACATCCCCCGCAAGTCTCGTGGCCTTGTGAGGTGTTCCACCGAAGGCCCCATCGGCAGGGGTCTTAGTGCGCCGCCCAGCCCATGTCGGCACGCCCCTCAGACGCTTCGTGTCCCCATGAGGAGTGCATCGGAGGTCCCGGCGGCAAGGTCCACATGCCGTCGCCCAGGCCACATTGACACACCCTCAGACATTTCGTGCCCCCATAGGCAGCTCCACCAAAAAAAGGTCCCAGCGGCAGGTTTCCCAGGCCGCCGCCCAGCATATTTCGGCATACGTTTCGCACGTTCCGTGGCCCCACGGGGAGCTGCACCGACGGCCCCACAGGCAGGGCCCACAGGCCGCCGCCCAGCCCATTCCGTCATACGCTCACACGCTTCGTGGTCCCATTGGGGAGCACCCCCGATGGCCCAAGCGACAGGGTCCACATGCCGTCGCCCAGCCCATGTCGTCCACGAGTGGCGCCCAGCACGGCTCCAAAAACGCCCCAAGAGGCGCCGAGTAAGTTGCGCCCTCATGCAACTAGTTTTTGTCACTTGTGGGGGTCCTCTTGGGGCCCTCTTGGAGCATTCTTGGGGCCCTCTGGGAGCGTTCTTGGGGCTTTCCCGGGGCCCCAGTGGGCCCCCGGAGGGCCCCGAGAACGTTCCCCGAGGGCCCCCAGGGGGACCCCCCAAAGTGGTACAAAGAATTCGTGCGAACGTGCAATCTGTTGTAGGCCTTTCGGGGCCCTCTGGGAGCTCTCTTGGGGCCTCCATTGGTGGCGCCTTGGGGCCTTGGGATGGCTCCAAGAGGCTTCGGGATTGCCCCAGACCGCCACAAGACAGCTCCGAGACGGCCGTCGAGCACCACGGGTGAAAGCAAGTGAGGCTAGGGAACAGGGCCTCTGGTAAGCCGCCACTGCGCCCCCTGGACTACCCAGACAGCGAGGGGACCCGAAACGCCCTGGGGCTCCAGGGGCCCCAGATTAGTGAAGTGAAGGTTTTTGCCATGCAAGCACCCCGAAATTCTTCACTTCACTAAACCGGACCCAGGACGAACTCGCTACGCTCCAGTCCCGCGGGAGATCCGAGACTCCCGCCGCCGCCCGGGGACGCTGCTGCATTGCGGTGTTCTGGTCACTGTTAATGGCTTCCGCGGGCTGCAGCGGCTCACTTCCATGACTACCCCGACTCACGAATCCAGTGGTTGGTCTGGCTCTATGGGTTGGTTTCGTTGTGTCGGTTGATTTTATGTTTGGTTGGCGGTCGGTGGATTTCGCGTTGTTCATTGGTGTCGTGAAGTGATTTGTCGTTTGGTTGGTCAGTGCCGTTTTGTTGATTCGTGCCGTTTTGTTGGTTGGTGTCGTTTCGTTGGTTGGTGTCGTTTTGTTGCTTGGTGTCGTTTTGTTGCTTGGTGTCCTTTTGTTGGTCGGTGTCGATTTGTTGGTTTGTTGGTTGGTGTCGTTTTGTTGGTTGGTTTCGTTTTGTTGCTTGGCGTCGTCCTGGCGGCGTGGCCGATAATCGTCGGCCTGCAATGGCGCCAGGATTTGTTTCGGGCCAGCCTTGATCGCCCTCATCATTCTCATATTCGTCAGCGTCAGCCCGAGACTTCCCTTTGAATGCAGGGCTTGTTTGAGGCGCAAAACAAATGAAGTAGGTTTAGAGTAGCTCCTGAAGTAGGTCGGCGAAGTAGGTCTGCAGCGCGCCTGGCAACAGTGGTCGGCGCAGGTAACTCGAAGGGAAAGGATGGCGAAACCGATTGCCGCGAGAAACTTCCAGGGGAAAGGAATGCGACATTCATGTGCAAAAGTAGCTTTCCAGGAAAGGTTGTCGGGAACACAATATCAAAAGTAACTTGTCGGGATCGGGTCAGTAATGATATTTTCCAAACAAGCTTCTCGGGGAAATGCTGGAATGCCGCCGGCAAGGCGCGGCTTCTGCTAGCAAGCCAGCCGAGTAATTCGTGAAGTGCGCTGTCTTGGGTTCTTCTGGACTCCTTCGGGGCTTATCTTCAGGCTTCCAAAGTCTTCGGAAGCGCATGGACCAAAAGGCCCAATTCATTCGTGTCTCGTACGATTTGGAAAGATTTCGGCTTCTCGGGGGTGTTATTGGGTGGCTCCGCGGCCGCTTGGGGCGGTCTCGGAGCGGTATTTGGGTTTCTTGGAGCATGCGGGAAACAATGTTGATCCATCTTGGGCTATCTTGAACCATCTGTGAGACCGCGTTGCATTCTGCGAGGTCATGCCGGCTCTATCTTTGACCGTCCCGGGCGCTCCACCGATCCGCCGCCCCCCATTGCAGGCCCCGGAAGGAGGGGGGGGGAGGGGCGCATCCATCCCCGAAGGGAAGACTGGGGGTTGTTGGAACAGGAAGCGCTCTAAACCACCTCCGTCCTGAGATCTGGGGGCATTGCGTTTCCCCCTTGGTCTGACCACAGCGGGAAGTGGGGCGTGGAGGGCGGGGCGAGGGCCGCGGGCCCGAGCAGGGGAGAGGGGGGGGGGGCGAGAGGGAGGACCAGGAAGGTTAAGAAGGTCAGAAACGGGAGGGTGGGGGGCTCCAGAAGGCGGGTAGGGGGGAGGTGGCGTTTCCGGGGGGAGGAGGTGGAGGGAGGCTGGAATAATGAGGGCGCGTGAAAGAGGAGAGGAGGTGGAGAGAGGTGGGAGGAGGAAAGAGAAACGGAAGGGGAGTGGCGCCTCCGTCGGGCCGGGCCCGGAGGGGCCCCGGGGGGCGGGGGGCGGCCGCATCGGGTTTGGTTTCTGAAGAACCTAGGGCGCCAGGCGGCGGCCCCCTGCCCGCCAGCGGGGGGGCTGCCAAAAGGCCCTGTCCTGTCGCGGTGCGTTCGCTTGTCGCCCGACGGCGAAATCGCGCTCGATCCTCGACCCTCGGGGGGGGGGGGAGACCGCCCCCTTTGGGGGGCTCCCGCCTGTCGGGGGCAACCTACAAGTGTTTTGGGTTTGCTCACCTTCTGGGGGTGCTTCGCAGATTCCTTTTTTGGCGCGCCGCCCCCGGGGGCGACTTCTGGGAAAGGCTCGGGCAAGCGTGTGCTGATGTTTCAAGGAACCGCGCCCCCAAAGTAGGTCGGAAAGTAGGTTTGCAGAATTTGTTTTTGCAAAGTAGGTTCCAAAGAAGGTTTCCGGATTCCAAAAGTAGGTTTTCGGTAGCGCAAAGTAGGTTTCGGAGGCTTCAAAATAGGTTTTAGGAGCCTCAAAGTAGGTTTCGGAGGCCTCAAAGTAGGTTTCAAACCTACTTCAAACCTACTTCAAACCTACTTCAAACCTACTTCAAACCTACTTCAAACCTACTTCGAACCTACTTCAAACCTACTTCAAACCTATTTCAAACCTACTTCAAACTGTTTTCGGAAGCATGGAAGGTCAGGGATTGAAGGTAGGAGGAGGAGGAGGTGGAGGAGAATGTGGGGGAGGAGGAGGAGGAGGAGAGGAATGGGAGAGGAGGAGGAGGAGGAGGTGGATGAGGAGAGCCGGGAGGAGGATGTGGAGGAGGAAGAAGAGGAGGAGGAGGAGGAGAGCCAGGTCGAGGAAACGGAGGGCCAGGAGGAAGGAGGAACAGGAGAGAGGAGTAGGAGGAGGAGGACCAAGAGGACCCGGAGGATCGGGCGGAGGATGAGGGGCGGATGAAGGG